AGTTCCGAAAACCCAATTCCCGCCACCTTCTCGTACTCCAACACTTTCTCCACCTGATACCTGCAAATCCAAACATTTTTACCCAGGAGATTAATATCACACTCCACCCCGCCAAGCATATTCAGATAATCAACCCTCTAAAAAAGGAGTACATCTCTGTAAGTCACAGTTTGTGCCAGTACGTCCAAACCTATATGGGTGTGTGCGCGTGTCACCGCGTGTGTGTGTGTGTGGGTGTCTCGGTGGGTGTCTGGGTGGCTGTGTGGGTGTGTGTGTGTGTGTGTGTGTGTGGTGGTGTGTGGTGGTGTGTGGGTGGGTGTGTGGGTGGGTGTGTGGGTGGGTGTGGGTGTGCGCTCTAAGTGTGTGTGGGTGTGTGCAGTGTGTTGCATACCCAGGTGTGCTCAACACCATTGCGTGTTGTGTCGGGCCAAACCAGACCCCAGATCTCACACATGCACACATACACACATGCACACACGTGCACGACCAACAAACAACCAAAACAACTCCCCAACCCGTGTTGCATTTGATGTGCAGTTGATTCAATTGGCTCGCTGTCCAAGGACGTGTGGTCTCCGTTTTATCCGCCGCGCGAGGGCATCTTGAAACTCCGCGAACGTCTTCGTGGCGCTCTGATGGAGTTTGATCCAGACTACGACCAGAAGTCGTCGGGCGTTGTGTTCATCTCGCGCGACAAAACAAAAGCTGTCCGCTCCATCACAAACCAGGACAAGCTCATTGGTGCGCGTGCGTGTGCGTGTGTGTGTGTGTGTGTGTTTGTATACTTGTGTGCTTGCGCGCGCGCGTGTATGCGTACGTGATTCTGTGCTTGTGCATGCTCGGCAGTGGTTTGTTGTCGCGTTGCTGCTTGAGTACCACATTGTTTCAGCAACACCACGGGCTCACTTGCTTGTCCTTTCCATACACGCGCACACACCGCCTGCTAACTGCTGGTTCTGACTCCGACGCCACCACAAACACCACCACCGCCGACGCCACCACCCAACCACCACCACAATCATGGCGCAGCTGCGCTTGCGGAAGCGTTTGGGGCGGATCGCGTCACCATCCACCACGGGACAGAGCCGCTGCACGAGCAGCTGGCCATGTTTGCAACGGCAGACTTGATCCTCGGCTCACACGGCGCAGGCCTGAGCAACGTGGTGGTGGCCAAGCCAAACACGCCCGTTGTCTTCTTCCCGCTCAAGCCGCACGTTGACCGCACGTTTGGGCACCTCTGCACCGCCCTCAACCTCCCGCAGTGGGTGTTGTCAGACGTGTCCTCGTACTACTACGGCAACTTTGGCGACCTGTCCACTTTGCAGATCAAGGCCATCGTGCGCACTGCCAAGAAGGCGTACGCACATGTACACGAGACTGAGCGCACCGGTGCTGCTGGCGATGATGATGATGATGATGATGGCAATGACGGCGACGCGTTGAACGTTGATGACTTTGCTGCGGATGAGAGCTCGGCCGCACTGAACGAGCACGCGTCCTCACCAAGCGCACCAGCTTCTTCATCGGCCACGACCAAGAAGAAGAGGAGGAAGAGACAGGACAGCGACGAGGCGAAGACGGCCACGAAAGCGCGCCGCTCGCGTCGCCAGCGCCGCAGGAGGAAGGCAGCGCCCACACGCACGGAGCTGTAGTGCAGTGTTGAGTTCAGCATGACCCGCGCCCGTGTTGTTTTTGCATTTGCACGCACATGCTTGCTTGTAGGCAACTTTTCAGCCACCTCCAGTTCGACCTTGTTCCCCCTCGTGACTTTTTCATCACGCAACACTTCAACACCACCACCGTCAACACACAACACTTCCACCAACACCACCACCACCACCACAACCCCACCTTTTCAATTCCTCTCTCATCAGCTCCACTTGCGTTTTGGTCCTCGATTTTCTTCTGGACATGCATGCATGCATGCGATGCGAGTTGTGTTCGTCTTGCTGACTTTTGCATGATGATGTTGATGGAAAGAGAAACCAAAACCAATTCAAATCCTTCACACGCAACCAACGCATGGTATCAACAAACACATTTGTATGCAAGCCCTGGCTTCACTGCCAGCCAATGCAACGGATTCACACACACACACACACACACACACACACACACACACACACACACACACACACACACACACACACACACGTACGTACGTACGTAAGTTACGTCGTTCGTT